AGCGGTGATTAGGAGGATGGCTCTGGATTCGGAGTCACTGCCTTGGTTTAGTGCCAGCTCTGCTCCCTGGGCTGGGTCACCGTGGGAGAGTGGGTTGGTCTCTGAGCCTGCCGTTGTCAAAAGGGGGTCGACAGTACCTTTTCTTCCCACCCCTCGGGGCTCTTGAGAGTGCAGTGAGCAGTGGACGTGAAAGCCATGAAGCACTGTGGCCCTTCACAGGCTGGTTAAGGGAGCCATGGTGCTGTGGAGGGGGAAGGGGACTGGAAGGGGCAGTTTGGTTCCATGAGATTGAGCATTCCAGGCCACTGGGAGCAAGGCACGGCTCATGCCAGGTCCTCAGGGTTGTGATCTTTACCACTAAGGAGGATGTGACTTCTTGGATGTGCTGTTTCTATGGTCCATGCCCAGAAGGATGGAGCTTGGCCAAGGCGAGGCTGGTTCTGAAATTGAGGAAGGACTCTGCTTTGCCTTTCGGCCTTCCTCTAAGGCCTGTGATGGCCTCTGCTTGAGGAAGCCAAAGGTTACTGGAATTTCTTCTGTGGCCTGAATTTCAGGCTCATTCCCTGAGATGTTTTAAAATCAATGCATCAAAAAGGGACCTTTGGTTTCTGTCCTGCACAGGAGTTTCAACCATGTGACTAATCTGCTTGGCTACAAAAACAGTATGAAACTCTTCCACCTTGGAGTAGACAGCTTGGTCTAAATAGCCAGCTTCTCTCCAAACTGGACAGCAGGTAGTAGAAGAATCTCTTCAGCCTTTCAGGCAAACAGACTCGTGGCTCTTCCTGTGTATTTCCTCATTATCCAGAAAGTGTTCAACCTCACTTTTGGTTTCATTACTCTTCTTATTTTGGCAACAAAATTAGTGAGCTAATGGAAGACTTTAACCCAAGTTCCAGGGTGAATCATTGACGGAGTTGGTATGGTGGGAAGGGTTGGGAAGTCTGAGGGCAAAGTGTATCTCTGAGAATAACTTGCTGGTCACTTTTTAATACTCTGCTCCTAATTTGCCCATGAGTAGAATAAACAGGGACCCTCCCAGGCTCTGAAAGATGGAGCCATCAAAGAAAGATTAGCAATGGAGCCAGTTGCAGATGAGAGGAATACAGCATTAATGTCACATTTGTGTTGCAACCAACTCAGCATATTTCAAAATCATAGAATTAAATCCACAAACACACGTTTGGTAATTACCAAATTTTCAAAGACAGTTAACTTCTTTGTTCATCCTTAAAAAGGAAAAGAGATTCTTTTGTCTCCACTGATTTGAGTTGGGATAAAATATACACTGGTTCTCTTTGGTCTTTTGGATTCTGTCATTCCCTAATAAGAAAATCTCATTTCTTTGCAAATGAGGGTTCTGCTGTGTGCCCGCCTGGGCTGCTGGATGAAGGACAGGCGAGTGAACACTGAGCAGTCTGCCCCTCTCTGGGTGAAGGTGAAAGTCATTTGGGGGCAGGGAGGGTTTTGCGGTATAATATATATTTCCAAAGGGAAACACTTGCAAAATGCAGATGCTGATCCCCATTCTGACCTTTGCAGCTCGTGCCAGCATTTGCACTGACTCCTTTTTATTCAGACATAGAGAAAAGCCAAGAAGTGAAATGATACTTTCCTTGGCTCATCATTACTCAGCATGGCTGGCTTGCTCAGGGTAGGCGATTCAGTGTTCAGAGAAACCAGTGTTTCTTATCCCAAAATGCATCCTCCTCGTGGTTAAGGGATTCACTCTATGTATTCTCATATCCATCTGAAAAGGAGGGTCTTGAGAACTACTACTCTTTGTTGTTCTCACCCTTCTCTAGCTGACCTACTGAAAATGTAAGAATTCTGAAGTTCTTAATCTGGAGTATGTGTAAGAACCTCCTGAGTAGTTTACTAGAAAAGAAGATCCTCCGGGGAAAATCTGCATTTTTTTACTGTATTTTTTTTAGGGGGAAGGAGGCCTTCCAGGAATTGATCTCAGGGACGCTCACCATCCTCAGCCCTATTTTATATTTTATTTAGAAACAGGGTCTCACTGAGTTGCTTAGCACCTCACTTTAGCTGAGGCTGGCTTTGAACTCTCAATCCTCCTTCCTCAGCCTCCCGAGCCACTGGGGTTGACACATAGTAATTGTGCATATTTGGGGGGCACAGGGAGCTATCTTAATACCTATCTAATGGGTAAGGATCAAATCAGGGCAACTGATCTATATACAATCTCAGACATATATCATTTCTTTGTGTTGGGTGACATTCAAAATACTCTCTCCTAACTATTTGAAATATTCAATTGGTTAGAGTCAGCCATAGTTATTCTACTGTACTATAGAACATTAGCAGTTATTCTTCATACCCAGCTGCACCTCTGTGTCCTAACCATCTGCTCTCCACCCCTCCCTCACCCATACCATCCCCATACTGTGGAAACCACTACTCCGGTGTCTATTTCTTTGAGATCAACTTTTTTAGCTTTCACATATATTTGAGAACACGAGGTACTTTCCTTTCTGTATCTGCCTTATTTCATTTAACATAATGCCTTCCTATTCCATCTACGTTGTTGCAAATGACAAAATCACATTCTTTTTATGTTAATATTCCATTATGTGTATATTCCACATTTTCTTTATCCTAGGTTGATTCTGTTTAACTGTTGTGCATAGTACAGCAATGAGCACTCGAGTCAGATGTTTCTTTAACATAATGATTTCATTTCTTTTGGACAGATACCCAGTAGATCGTATGGAGGTTCTATTTCTAATTTTTTGTGGAATCTCTATATTGTTTTCCATATGGGTACGTTACAGTCCCACCAACTGCTATGAGAGCTCCCTTTCTCCAGCTCCTCACCAGCATTTGTTATTTTTGTCTTTCTGATACTAGCCATATTAACTGGGGTGAGACAAAAATCTGCATCTTTAGACCATGGCACTGGGGGTTCTGATTTGGGGATCCACATAGTTACCTTGAGAACTGCCCCCTGGGTGCCAGGCCCAGCTGGGGAATGCCTGCAGCACCCAGTGTGAGTGTTCCCTGCATAAGCCAAGCCCTAGTTGCTGCTGTTAGAACTGCACTTGAATTTGGCTAAATAAATTATGGTCTGACTTATAACGATTTCCTGATTTGTACAAATACCCTGGGAGGAGCCTGAGAGACCCGAGTCGAAATAGCCTGGGTAAAGGTCTTTGCACTCACCCTTACTCAGCATCTCCGGGAACAACAAGGCCCACCTGGCTGAGAGAGAAGGGTGGGGAGGAGGGAATGAAGTAACGTGTGTAGGCTCTAGCACCATGCCTGCATTAGCACACACTGGTAAATATTACTTTCCTGAGAAGCAGGAGTTAACCTAAAAAAAAAGAAAAAAAAAAAACCCTCACATGTTCTCTATCAGCTCTTAAAGCAAATATTAAGGTAAATAGATTTTTGGCCTTGATACACATCACTTTCAAAGTCAGTGGTTGTTTAGAGATTTTTATAGCATGCCCCTCCTTAATTCCTTTAGAAAATACCGAGTTCTGTTGTAAGGATCTGAGAGATCCCTGCAGGTAGATAAGGAAATGCAGGTGAATTGCAAGGTTGGTACCTTGGCTGGACATTCGCAGGATCCAGTGTAGAGAGTGCGGATCAGGTGTTTAATCCGAAACGACACCTGCTCTTAGTCAAAGTCTCACAAGAGGAACCTTGTTCCTCAGAAGTTAGCCAGTAATGGATTATTGGACTATCTTGTTCAGACTTTTTTCCAGGCAAAAATGAGAACATTACAGAGGTCTGAGGGAAACAGTGAACTATTGTCCTTACAATGTACAGAGAGCTCCTTGCTTTAAGGTGCTTTCTAAATTGAGTGTCAGCAGGATCTGTCCCCCACTGTCCTGCCCGATGCAGTTTTATCATGAGACAAGAAAAAAAAATCACCTATGTTCCTTGTGTTAATGGATGAATTTTAGGTTCCCTCTTCTTATACCATATAACCCTCATGGAGGTACTTACGTGATACATGTTTTTATATCACATGGGTTCTAATGACCTCAGTCAGAAAAGGAATTTCATAGCAACAAGGGCCATGTGCACACACTGGCTGAAGAAACTGCGTGAAATTAAGACACCTGGTTTGCTGAAAGCCACAGGTGTCCCCTTGTTGCCTTCTCCCATGGCGCTCTGCAAAGCAGAGGCTGTGCATCCCGTTCCCAGGACAGGGCAGTCACAACAACTTCTGTTCTCTGAAAAGCACACTCTGGAGATGGAGATAGTAATCCCTGTAAGCCCCTCCATGTGATTTTAGGGTCTGAAAAGACCTAGAGATCATCTGGTCTGATCCCTTTAATTTATGGGAAAGGAAACCGAGGCTTGAAGGAATCTGCATGGGTTTTGTTTTCTTTTTTCATTATTGCCCACAGCTGTGTGTGTCAGGAACTGTGGGCATAATGGGAGGGTCCTATAACCCTCCAACAGGCTAAATGAGGTGCTGAATGAAGATCAGGAAATACTCTGTGGCAGAACTGTCCATCATGTACTAATTAATACATAAATAAAAACATTTGCTGGGCTGAGCATTTTGCTACGTCCCCAGGAGCTTCGGGAGAAAGGAGACATATCACTGGGGAGAAAAAGCATGAACTCTAAGAAATGGTCCCCACGTTCAAGGGACCTCACAGTCTACAGTGAACTGCTGAAATGTGCTGAGTCAAGGAAAAGACTTGCTGCAAAGATAGAGAATTTTGAACCAAACAAGAGTTTGCATTTAATGATCCAGTTACGTTGTGCTAGAGGAGTTGGGGAGGAAGGGGCAGCACAGCAGGCTCCACAGAGGAATGAGCCTCATGTCACCGTGATGGACTGTTCAAGCCACCACCGTCAGTTATTTGTGGACCCAGTGGTTGTAGCAGAGGGTGGGTGCCATGTTTATTGATTTGACTTGTCGCTCATTGGATACCAAATGGTGGGGATGTTATGCTCACTGTGAGGACACTTGTAGGAATGCCCCCTTCATCATCTGGATCTTTTTCTTTTTCTTCCAGTGGCCCACCCGCAGGACCCTCACCACCCATCAGAGAAACCTGTCATTCACTGCCATAAATGTGGGGAGCCGTGCAAGGGCGAAGTGCTCCGGGTCCAGACCAGACATTTCCACATCAAATGTTTTACCTGCAAAGGTACAGTGTCTCCAGCATCCTGGCTCAGTGGCATGTCACCACCAGCATGTCATCCCCTTAGTGTCATCCCAGGCCCCTGGAGGATACGTCAGTGCTCTCAGAAGTCCTGGAACCACTTGCCTCTAGTTTAGGATTCAGTTAGGCCTGAGGGGAAACCAGGTGTTCCCAAGACCGATGGTTCATGGCCTTTGGGGACACACTGAGGTCCCTAATCCCTGGAGAGGGACTAGCTCTGGGAAGAACAATGAAAACCAGTTTTGTACTTCTGTTTCTTTTTCTCTAGAAAGAGGAACTTCTACTGCAAAGTCGTCTTATCCCATATCCATGAGTGGTAGGAGGCCTGGAACACTGTACAGTTGGTGTGCTAGGTCATTAGCTTCCGCTCGCGTGTGTGTGTGTGTGTGTGTGTGTGTGTGAGAGAGAGGGGGCGGGCGGGGGGGAGAAGAAGAAGCAAGAATTAATCAGGAACGTTTGGGAGCCCTCCAAGCAGAAAATTATCTGTCACCCAAAAAAGCTCCCAATTTTTTAGGTTGATTTCCATTAACTAACCAGCCCCTCTCCTGGGGTTCACAAAGTTGGCATCGTGGTGCAAAGTATTCCTGGCCTGTCATTGCAGAGCCAGGGCTTGATTGACTGGGAAGAAGAGGAGGAAGAGAATGGTTGGTGTGTTGATTTGAGAAGCAGGTTACTTGAGCTGAGGGCGTGTCTGCGTAGTTCAGGATGCAGATGCAGGATGTAGGGAGAGATAGAAGGGAGGGGCAGACTCTGAGATTGTTTGTGGCTTTTCTCTGTACCCTGCATGTGGTCACCACCTCCTTCCTGGGAATGGGCTTCATTTTGAGTGTCTTTGGTTACAGAGACTCGGTAATGCCATCTTAAGCCATGGCTGTGGCAGCTGAAGCCAGTGACCCTCAAATATCTGAAAAAAGGGGGAGGGCGCTTTTCTGAAGGCTACCACTGTTTCTTTCACTAACTAACTGTCACTTTTCAGGAAAGAGCACTAGCATGTGAGGCTGGGGTGAGAAGAGGTCAGGGTAGGAGCTGAGCCCCCCCCCCCCAGTGCTTAGTTCAAAATGATAGTTAATGATTGTATCTTGTACATATTTCCCTAAAGACCAGGTGATAGCTGTTCTTGCCATGGAGGGGCAGGGTAACTATGTGATCTGAGGGAATTTGTTCCACGTAGTAATCATCTTACTGTGTGTGTATCTTATAACATGCTGTACACCTTAAATATACACAGATTCATTTTTTACAGAAAAGCTTTCAGGGCTGGGATGTAGCTCTGTGGCCAAAGTATCTGCCTTGCATTTGCAAAGCCCTGGGTTCAACCCCCAGTTCCAAAAAAAAAAAAGAAAAGATTTTAAAAAAATGCTTTCACACACATTATATAGAGATTAGTTAATCCTCTCTGAAACCTCTCTGAGTAAACTTAATAAACTCAAGTTTTCAGACAACCCAGGGCGGACGTCAGGAAACATCAGGGTCACACCCAGGATGCCAAGGGTACCGTCATGTGGCATGAGTCCTGCCATTGCCAGTAAGCAGCTCCGTGGTCTCAAGTAAGTTATTCATCTCTGTGGCTCGTGTCTTTATTATAAAATAGAGATGAGACTGTATGTCACTTAAATTACCCCAGGTCAGAGTGTGCAGATTCCAAATTCAGTATACCATCTAGGTGTGTAGTATAGAACCAAGAGGTACTGAAGCCACTTGAATAGCTGGTCAGAGAAAAGGCTGTCTTCTGGTTACATCCAGTTCAGCTAACAGAGTTGGTTCTACACACACACACACACACACACACACACACACACACACACACATATATTTTGCTCATAAATTTCCTAAAACATAGCTCAAGGGGTAAATTTGGTATGAAATAAATACATCCTATAAATGAATGCAGCCCTGTGTGTGTTTGCTGTTTCTACTGTGAATGAGCCATGGATCTGAGCAGTCCCTGTTCAGCACATTAAGGTGTTAGAATACGCATCCACCAACCCCTGTGAGGTTGTTTTGTTGTGGGTTTTTTTGCATTTTTCTCTTCTAGTTTAAATTTAAGGAACTTATTTATGTTGCAGAGTCATACCATATACTTTGTTATAAATGTATTCCTGAAAAGTTAAATTTTTACTTAGATTAAATCCTATTTTAAGAGTGCTTGCTATTTGTAGGGATTATTTTTCAATTTGACAAAATGTTGTCAAAGATAAATGAGTCATTTATTCTTACATATTTTTCTCACATTTAATCTGTCAATGTCACTGTCTAGAGTCCTAACTTTCGAGGGTCACCCTCTTTTCTTTTTAATGTTTTTATTAACTTGCTTTCTTCCTTGATGTCCAAAAAAAAAAAAGGTCATTTAAGCTCCTTAGACCTTAGACTGTAGGGACTCCATGATTTTCTCCGGGATTCTAGAGGAATATGATGCAAAGCCATGTGTCTAATTGCAAGTATTCTAATAACTACATTACAAAAAAGGCAAGAAGGGACAGGGTACCATTAATTTTTATAATATATATTATTTAACCTCTGTATCCAAAATATTATCATTTCAACATGTAATTAGTATAAAATTATTGAGATATTCGACTTTTTTCATACTAGTTTAACCCTCTCGGTTTGGACAAGTCCCATTTTCAGTGCTCAATAGGCACGTGGTTAATGGCCACCATGTTGGACAGGGCCTTGAGATTTGCATTCTTGTCATCTCCTCTCACTCCAAATTCTTGCTAGTACCAAATTCTTGATCTTCCCCTGTGAGTATTTAAGCCTTTCTCATTGCTGGACATCATTCCTCTTCCCATTTTCCAAAGTCCCACTAACACCAGCAGCTTTAGACTGAACTTCACTCGTTACTGAGTGTCTGAGGCTCTGGAGGGAGGGTACAGCTTGGAAGAGCAGAAGACGCAACAAGTGCTCTGATATTCCCACTGTCTCCAGTACAAGAAATTTCTCATTGGCCAGGGCCTGCCCCCCTCACCTCCTCCCTTCGTTTTGTTTTAATTTTCTTTAAATTGAAAGACTTTCATTTTTAGAGCAATTTTAGACAGAAATTTTTACAGAAAATTTTTACAGAAAAATTGAGCAGAAAGTTGAGGTCAGGGCCCTTGTCCACACTGGTTCAGAACATCATCTGCAGCTATCTGGGTTGGGCTTTCTCTCTGTCCAGAGCCCTTCCTCCTACATCCCAATCAGATCAGGACTCTAGGTGTCCCCCTAGCCCACATGATCTTAGTGCAGTGGAGTCCTAAAACAACAGTTTCATTTTCTTTCTGTTATGTCTTAAGTAGAGTCGTGATATTCAGAGAGTTAAGTGAACTAATGTCCTGGGACAGAGGATTTTGGATGGGGAGCATGCACCAAAACAAGCTTGGGCTTCTGGGCAACAGCTGGCAGACCAAGAGGCACGTTCAAGTGCTGACTCAATTCTCCCTGGAATTCTGTCTCCTCCCTCCTACCCAACTGTCCTTTGCATAGTACCATCTTAATAAAGCCTCATTTCTAAAGAGGTGGTTTTCTGTAGTTAAAAAGGAAATCCTCAAATGCAAACTTTGTAGCAATTAGAAGCAAGGATAAGTGATTTTTGTTAAAAACGGGTCTTGAAAGGAGGACACTGGGCATCTTATATGAGAGCTAAACAAGCAAGAAAATCAGAAAGGGTTGCTATGAAGAAGGTAGAGATTATTGCACATGCTTAAATCAATTTTTAGTCTCCGTGAAGTCACAGAATTGACTGGAACAGGAGCAAAGTTGGTGAGCAGTAATTTTGCTAGTTAACCCATCCCTTTTCCTGAGAAGTCTGACACTTTGGGATCTGTGGTCATTCATTTACTAAATGTTAATTGAACATAGACTTCATGCAGGATATTATGTTAAAGGTACAGAATAGAAAGAGATAGCACACCATATCATATTCAGAGGACTCGGGGACCATTTGGAGAGAGATCAATAAGCAACATTGATTATACTAAGTGATGAGATAGGCATATAGGATGCAGACTGAGGCAGGAGAACCCTGGGGAAGATGTTCTGGTAATCCAGGTGGGAATAATTGTAAGGTAGCAGCAGGTATGACAGAGATGAAGGGAAAGACTCAAGAGGCACTTCAGATTACAGTTGACAGGATTTGGTGACTCCTGAATGGGAAGAGTGAAGGTTCCAGGTCTCCCGTGGACCGCTTGGGTGGATGGAGTGGAACCAGCAAGAAACACAGGAGCCCTTTGGTGGGGCAGTGTGGGGGAGAGAGATAAGGAGGATAGTAAGGGGACACGTGGAAGTTGAGTCCACATGGTACATCCAGAGTGCAGAGGGCTAACACTTGAGAGGAACTGGTCTATGCTGGGAGGAAGGATATGGAAGACTAGCATCTGGATGGTGGCAGTAGCAATATGGTCACGTGGGAAATTTCCCAGGGATGGCACAAAAGGCAGGATCTGAATGTTAAAGCATGTCAGTGTCTGAAGGAAGTAGAACCTAATTCCCACTCGTCCCCTTGGAAAATGTACCCATCTGATAATGAGATGAAGAAGGTCGTGTAATTGATGGATGGATGGATCCTGTGATTAAATGCCAAGGAGATCCCCAAAGCTCCTGCTGGTCTTTATGATAACCCAGTGGGAGCAGAGTGTGATTCCAGGGCTCTGAGTGGAACTGTTCTGTCTTTTGTGCCTATAGCTTTGCTTTCCTCCTTGCCCATCAGCAGCAACCACTCCACCGACTTAAAGGAGGTGTGTTCAGGCTGTGCATCCTGTGACATGGCTCCGGTGACGTGGTTATTCTTAATGCATCCCCTTATCTGCATTACATTTGTATTCCCGGCTCTGAGAGAAGATGAAACATAAAAGAAAATTTGAGCTACTTGTGTCCATTGGGATGTGGCCATGTTGGTATTCGTGCAGGTTTCTTCTCTGGGTAGAATGGCTTCTAACATTGGAAAATGTCTATTTCTTCAAAGTATCTCTTTATATGTGAGTTACATCCATATTGTTCATTTTATT